TTTCTAGAGCTAACAAATGGAAGTTACCGATACGCTTGAAACGCAATTGTTGATCTTCCGATTTTGGTTATTCCGTGAAAATTGAATTGGGAAGCAGGCTGATGTGGAAGACTCGTCGACCCTGGAAGTATGGTCGTGTAACCTGTGCCTTCAACCTCTTACTGTAGTGTGTCGTTAAAGTTACAAGCGGCAACGAAGAGCAACCAAACGTAATGGGGGGCAGAGACAAATCACACAGCATTGACGTTAGTTCGGGGGCGACTGCGCAGGGTCCCACATGCCGGCGCCAGATCGATAAATCGATTGACTGAGTTCTCTCGAAGAGCCTGGCTTCAGTCAATTCTCTCCCTTTCTTGCTTCCGGCGTGGGCGATTGTCTTCACAGCTGCGATTGTTAACTCGTGACCCGTTTTTTAGGTGTGGGCGACCACTTGTGATGATACGTCATCCCCCGTTCACAGCCAGCTCATACTGGTGCGTGCGCGATCAGAGCATTCATCAGGTCCGTCCTGTATATTTTATAAATTCATGAAAATATATTTTAAAAAACCATTGGATAAGGCTCCCAAACATAAAAACACTGAGATACAACATCGCTCAGCTCCATTTTCCGATACAGCATATTTTGGATGTAAGGTTTCGTCGCAAAGTACATATTTCCACTTTAGTTACCAAGTTTTTGGTCGGAGTTGAGAGTATTTAGCGTTTTCCCTTATAACACCTAGTTTCATTCGGCGTCGTGTTCAGATGTTATGTCAGATTCGAACAGAAGGGTTAAGTGGCTCCAAAGTAAAAAGATTATCCGTTTATTTTATTTTCCAGACACATAAATGCGAAAGCTAAACATAAAATCAAATATAGCCTTCAGTATAAGTAATCAAAATAAAGCACTTTTTTTCTCTTAGAACGACATTAGCCTTGTGACGTGTATTGCATGTTAGCATAATTTTTTTGAATTTCTACAGATTAGTGTTTCTTTTCTACTTCAACTTGCCAAGCAATTGCAAAGTGACTGACAGAAATGATTAGGTCGATTTGATATAAACCGGCATCTCGTAGCCTATGAAACACGTTTGACACGATGCTTTACTTAGACGTCGCGTCTTTGTTTCCTTCTATTTTACTTATGGAGACGGGATAGTATTTATGCAACGTGGATGCAAGGCAGAC